AACAGGCTTTTCTGACTGCTTCAAAAGCAGTTCCCAGTTTACTTGGGTCACATCAATATTTCCTGAAAAGGAAAACAATATTTATCTTGGAAAGTATAAACTTCGAGCTCAAAGACCAATGTTTATCCCTCTAAATGTTTTAATGCCTCATTTCATTTTAAATTCAATTCCACAGTGAAGTGTGCATTTAGAATTATCAAGACCTTATCCTTATAAAAAATAACTTGTGGAGTAGTGGTTAAGTGGGTGGAGGAGGATATCTGACTAACACTTAGGGCCTACGGGGATTTAGCTCAGTGGTTTTTGCCCCTGCTGTGCAAGCCCAAGGACCCGAGTTAGATCCCTGGTACCAAATACAATAAAATAAAATAAAAATAAAGACTTAGGGCCTAATGTTCCCCAGCATTTTGGGCAAAAGTGCACATTTCTTTCTGAAGTGTGAAGGATTTTTTCCCTTGAAGATAAGGCTTTTATCATTATACATTTGGCTTTGCTTGTTTGTTTGTTTTGGGGGACAAGGTCTCACAATGTAGTCCAGGCTGGACTTGAACTCACTATGTAGCCTAGGCTGACCTCAAACTTTTGGTGATCCTCTCTCCTTAGCCTTCTGAGTGCTGGGATTGTAAGTCTGCACCACCATGTCCAGCTATACATTACTTTTTTTTTTTTTTTTTTTTACCACGTGTATTTAAATATCCTTACACTGGAGAGTTTATGAGACAGAGTAAATCCAAACTCATTGTGTTTAGCCTACACAATATTTGCTGTTGATTCTGTCTGTCTAATCTGTCTCAATTTCAGTGCATTTTGGAAAATTGAGCTTTTTTAGTTATACTGACTCTCTCTCTCTCTCTCTCTTTGAGACAAGGTCTCGCTCTGTAGTTCAGGGTGGCCTTGAACTCCCTATGTAAATCAGGCTGGCCTCGAACTGGGACCAATTCTCCTATCTCAGCCTCCCAAGTGCCCAGTGATGCCACAATTTCCTCACTAAAATTAGTTATCTGATCTTTAGGTTTTTTTTTTTTTTTTCTTCTTTGCCTTCAATGCTTTGGGAGAGGAGGAATATATAAAATGATAAATTATGTCAAACATAGTTATTTATACACATTTATTTCTATGTAGAACCTGATTATATTATGTATTTTAATGTATTTCAAGTATGTCTTGTTTTCAGTTTTGATGTGTTTGGGTTTACTGCAGAAAATGGGGATCATCTTTAGGCCTACACAGAGAGAAATGAGGAAGCCCTGAGGTTTTTGGAGAATCTCTCTAATTTCTCCCATTTTAATTTATGGCTGCTAGGGAGTTGTGGCTTTTGCTTTGCACCTCTTCTCAGTTTGCCTTCCTGTTGTGTACACTGTATTAACTATTTCTTTCTGGGTTTTATAGTCAAACTCCTGGAGACAGAGAATCCACTAAGGAAAGAGCAGCCGTGCTGACTACAGTTGGTCTATTGGTTGGGCACAGGATCCTACCTGTCCAAGGATGCATTGGCCAGAGCTGCAGTGTGCATGGCAACTGGTACACAAGAAAGTGCCCTGGCTAGGCATGGTGGTTTATGACTGTCATCCCAGGGGAGGCAGGGGGTTGTGAGCTAAGACTGGGCTACAGAGTAAAACCTTGTCTCAAAATATGACAGAAAAAAAAAAGAGAAAGAAAGAAAGAGAGAAAGGAAGGAAGAAAGGAAGAAAGGAAGGAAGGAAGGAAAGGAAGAAGGAAGGAAGGGAAGAAGGAAGGAAGGAAAGAAGGAAAGAAGGAAAGAAGGAAGGAAGGAAGGAAGGAAGAGCTGTTGGTGGCTCAAAATTGGGTTTTTGGGGGCAGATCCTTGGAATCAGAGATCCCACCAGCATAGAAAAGACTGGAATTCACTTGTAACTAACATCATATATCCTGGAATCATATTGCCTGGGTTTGTAAAGTGACTCCACCACTTACCTACTAGCCTTGGAATCTTAAGTGAGTTACTCTACTCATCTGTCTCAGTTTCTTCATCTGATAAATAGGAATAATAATAATAATAACAACACATTTCATAGGGTTGTTGTAAGGATTAAATCAGGCCATACATGTGAAGGACCAAGCCCAGAGCTTGACTCAGTAAACACTGGTTATTGCAATCATAATAATGATTGTTATTTGGTTACTTACAAGGTCTAGCATAGTATCTTTCACGTAGTACCTTCTCAATCATTATTTGTTGAATCATTATGTGCCTGAAAAATGTAGTTTGACTGAGTCAGTCATCTTGCAGGTGAGAATTGAAATGTTAAACCTAGAGACTTATGTAAGTCTTCTATGTCTTCTTTCAAAATTATTTCCATAATGAGATTTACATTTTCAAATGGGCTTTAAAAGAGGGGAACCTTTTTTTTCTCTTTTTTTTCAACTCCTTTAGATGATCCATTTGTTATTCTTTTTAAAGGCCCAGTGAAAAGCTAGCAGTGGCTTTCTTTATTGGTTGGGCAATTTACAGTGTCTGCTGCAGAAAAGGATATAGATTGCTAACTTGCCGGACTTTCTTCCACAAAGCCATCAGGAATGGATGAGAGAAAATTCCTGTCTATATACCCCTGACAGCAATTAATATGATTGCTTAAAAATTTTACCCAATCTGGTAAGTGTAAAGTGATAAAGCAGAAATGATAAATCTGAAATCTACAGATTAAATTGGGCTGGTATAGAATCAAATCCACCTGATTCCTTCATATAGTTGAGTTATATTGAAATGAGAACAGTTTATCGTAAATCTTTATTTGAATTGAATTTATTGGCTGCCTCTTCGCCTGTTCTTCAGCACAATGTATACCCTGTTTGTCTAGTGCCCCATGCCTATGAAAACCAGGTTCATAGATGTTGCTGGTCTTCAGAAACAATTAGGTAATTTTGGGGCCCGAAAACATTGCTTCAGTATCTGAAGTGTGCTAACCTTTTTTTTTTTTTTGGTACTGGTGATCAAACTCTGGACCTTGTGCTTGTGAGGCAGGCACCGCAACCACTGAGCTAAATGCCCGGCCCTCCAAAACCTTCTTTGTCATAAGCGCCATTGATTAACATAGTTTATTTTACTTCTGTGAAAATTTCTACTATTTTATATTATCATCTATTTATAGTTAGTCTCTTTAGTTTCACAGTTTTTTTTCAGCTAATTTTTTTTGATCACTTAAATTTTAACATTTTATTTAATTACCACTTCAAACTTTCATCTTTCCTATTTTAATTGTTAAAATATTTCTCAGGCATAATTCTTCTTAACCTTATTATTATTGTTTCCAATTTTCTTCTTCTTTTTAAGAAATATACTGATGATTTTGTCCTTTTTGATCTTACAGTTTTCCAATTTTTATCTTAGGCCATCTTTTTTTTTTGTTTTAATTTGGTACCGGGGATCGAACTCAGGACCTTGTGCTTTTGAGGCAGGTGCTGGAACCACTGAGCTAAATCCCCAGCCCTTAGGCCATCTTTTTACATCTTTGATTTATAAATAGCCAGAAGGAAATCTTGTTATGGAGGCAGATCCAAAAGTTTCTGTTTATAAATTGGTTATAGATGGAGAAGGGGAAAAAAATTGTATTGAAACCTAGGATTTTAAACAGAGAAAGTGAGTAAAAAAAGGATGTGATTTACTAAGTAGGAAAAACTGAGAGAGGAGAATGTATAAAGCGAAAAACGTTTCTTTTTCAATTACCACCACGTATTAAAGAAAGAGCATTTTAACATCAAAAAAGGACATAAAACCCAGATATTCTCAAATCAATGCATTTAGTTTTACGAAAAATATACCAGACGGTCTTTTCCTTTCTAATTTTGTGGTGAATTGGTGAAAACTTCTGGCATTTGGGAGTATTTGTTGTAGGTAATGGATTTGTATTTCAGAAAACTCATTCTGGTACTTGTGTAGAGAATAGATTGACAAATTGAAGACAGCCCAATTAGGATAGAGCCTATGCAGGTCAGTTGCAATTTGGATAAGCAGAGAGGAAAAGATATCTACAAAGCTGGAAGAAAAAATATCTACAAAGCTGGAGATTGAGGAAATTTTGCCTGATACGCTGGGGTGTCCTCAGTAATATAAAGAAAAGCATTTGCTGAGAGTGATGTTGAATATCCTTTTTTGAAGAAAAAGCGATAATTTTGATGTTAAGAATGGCATCTAGTTGTGCTAGGTAAATTCAATCATTCTGGCTTCAGAGAAAGAGTCCTGCCTCGCCAATGTATTCTTTCCTCAGAGTGCACGTTTTGGAAGACATCCTAATCTAAAGATTTAGTTGAAAGCAACACAATAGTAGTAATCTGTGAATGTATTAGGTACAGTTAAATATCATCTTCATTTTGAGATCATTTCTTCCTCATGAGGAACTCATGACCTTGTTGAGGTCTTTACAAGCAATGACGACATATTCTTCTTTTTTTTGTACAAGGGTAGCCGGTTGTTTCCATGAAGAGTCTACATCCTAAAGAGTAGTACCTCCAATCTCCCACCCTCAACTTCTTCATCTGTTGTGGGGGTAATGATGTGCATGTCCTAGTATTCTTGAAGGTATGTAATAAAATACTGCATGTGGTAAAGGACGACAGATTTTACACGTGTTAGCTATAGGATTCTCTATGTCCTCCGCTATTGCCCCCAGTGCTGAGAACTCACAGAAGATACTAGCCACATACTGTACTGTACTTGCTAAATTAATGAATATATGACAAGGGGGGTTCAAAAAGATTTTTATTTTTGAATTCTAAAGACTGGGAACCCAGGAGTCTGTCAAGAGGTTTGAAGTGGAACGACAATAAAGTTTTGTTAATTAAAAATAAAAGTACCCACTAAAACTACAACTCCGAGTCACGTGAAAGGCCAGGAATCCGGAAGTCTTGCCCCCTCGCCCAATCACACGGGGAAGCCTGGGGAGCCGCAGCAGACTGGCCAATCCTGGGAAACCCTGCTCTGTGCAGCGCCAAGTCCCACCTCTACACGCAGCGCTGACGGGTGGTGAACGGATACGGCGGCCGCGGGGGCGGGGCCAGGGGCCTCCGGCGACTCTGAGTCCGGCTGCTCTTCCCGGCCTTCGGCTCCTGCTCCGCCATGGCTCCCAAAGGCGGCTCCAAGCAGCAGTCGGAGGAGGACCTGCTCCTGCAGGATTTTAGCCGCAATCTGTCGGCCAAGTCCTCCGCGCTTTTCTTCGGGAACGCATTTATCGTGTCTGCCATCCCCATCTGTGAGTGCGGGGAACGAGGCGGGCCCGGGAGGCTGCGGGCGGGCGAGGACGTGGCAGGTTGCGCAGACTGAGGCCCGCGCACTCCCCGACTCGCGGCGATCTGGGGGGAAGCATGCGGCCTCTGTGTGCCTCGGACTTCCTGGCTGAGGCTGGCTGGGCGGCGTCGCCGGCGAGGCTCTTGTGGCGCTTTTTAAAAGTACTTGTGTTCCCGGGCCCCAGGTGGGGATTGCTTCCCTCGTTCTGCGATGGCGGCCCGGAATCTGTATTAAACCGACAACCGGGCTGAGAACGTGCGTAGCCGGTACTCAAGCTTATTGCCTGCTGACCTTTCCACACAGCTGTCAATTTGACATTAGGAGTTCTTACACCTACAGCGTTGTTTATTTTGGAAAAGCTAATGGATTAAGTGAGAAACCTACCAGATCATCCTCATACTGAATTAGGAGTGTATCCGTAGGTGAACCACTTCCCACTGCTTAGCATCATTTTCCTAATTTGCCAAATGAAAATGCCAGGGGTCAGGGATCTACCTTGTTTAGACATAAATAATCCTACTGAGAGCAGTTCTAATTCTCACTTGGATGAGACACTGGAAACTAGGCCAAGATCAGTTTCAGTGCTCAGGGTTCCTGAATTTGAATTTTCTGGCTCTTGCACTTCGTTTCACTGTTGTTTGTAATCAAATCCAAATGTATTTTCTTTTTAGGCCTTATAAAACCCAGCGTGCAGTTATGTGGTGTGGGCCCCCATGGTTCACTGGCCTGGCAAAGCACTGCTTTGATTTCAGATAACAGCCACGTCAGCAAGCAAACTGATGGTTTGGGACTACACGTGGCATTTTAGAATAGCCTGGATCTAGCATACTAGTACCCCGATGAATGAAATTGGAAGTCTTGTGATTATGTCGAGGCAGAGTTTGTTCTTACTTTAGAAGTAGAAATCTCATCTGTACTAAGGCTAGGAAGGCAATGTTTTAAAAATTGTTCTGAACTAGGAAAGTTCTAAACTGTGACTGTCACTGTTATTACTGGATGTCTCACTTCTGAAGAGATTCAGATACTGTACTGGATTCCCTAACCCTAACTGTGTTTTACCACCAAGCTTAACTATAATTGATTCAGCAGGCCTTTGGAATGAAGTAGTAATGTTTTGTTCCTTTTATCTTAATTCAGGGTTATATTGGAGAATATGGCACATGGATCTTATTCAGTCTGCTGTTCTGTATAGTGTGATGACCCTAGTAAGCACTTACTTGGTAGCCTTTGCATACAAGAATGTAAAATTTGTTCTCAAGCACAAGTAAGTATATTTTTCAAGTGAAAGTATGTACAACATATTGCATTTTTTTAAATAGGATGTCTTAAAGGTCATTTTGTAGGTGTGTTAATTTCAGTAAGCATGAATATGAAATACATATGCATATATATTTTTGGGGAAGGCACATTCGTGCTAAGAACTGTTAACTAATTGAAGGAAAAACAGTGATCCATCTGACACAGTAAAAATGAATGATATGATAAAAATGGGAAATAGATTTTGAGAGTGAAAGGAGAACATTAAGAGTCTAGATTGAGGAAAGATGAGAATTTAATATATCTGAGTGCTATGGTCCTCATGGGAAGCAGGTGTGAATTAATGTTTAATTTGAAAAGGTGCCCTCTGAAGTTATTTTTGTGCATACTTTTGGGACAGCAGGACTTTTCTGTCTCTGGGGCTTTTTAGGTTTTGTATTTCTTTGGAAGTAATTTGTAAAGGCAATTGGAATTTTACTGAGATTTTAAGTATTGGAATGCTTTATGTATAAATTATATTTTCATTTCCATAGTATTCTCTGTAGTTAGAACATTTTTTTGCTTGGATTGCTGTAGCAGTCTCCCTCCAACTGATCTCAAAAAAGTTGAGGACCCACCCTGCTGTGTACTATATAAATGTTATTCTGCAATTTTTCTATCATCCAGGCATTATCCTTGTTTTATCGCATTTGGAGTATATATTCCTTAAGTTTTTAAATTTTAATTTTTTTTATATTCCTTCTAATTTGATATCATTTTTTTATACTGTCACTGTCTTAACTCATCACAGCCTTCCTTTTCTAATGTATTCAGGCCAGATTATTCCAGACTCCTGTAATGTGGGGCATCTGCCTCCTTCCTATGAATTTAGCCTCATCTTTCAGAATTGGAACTTAGTTTTTTTTTGGTATCGGGAATTGAACTCAGGACCTTGCGCTTGCCAGCCAGGCACGGCGCCATTGAGCTAAATCCCAGGCGGGGGACTTAGTTCTTTTGACTCAGCCTTTGTGTCACCCTTTGAATGTGTCTTGTGCCATTTAGGATTATCTCTTCATTTCTATTCTTGTATGTCTGTTATTTTGAGACCTAGGAAACTTCCAGAGAAATGTTTCCTGACTTTTATCATTTCTTTGCTTTGTTATGTCTGGCATTAGTCTCTTTGGGTGAAGAGGAATAGTACTTTGTTGGAATGATGTCAGTTAACAGAGATTTTTTTGTAGAAATGACCATAAATGGCCTTAGCAGTTGAAAGTGGCCTCAGCAGCTTCCTTGCCGTCATTCTGGAGACATAGGAGCTCCGGTTTCATGGCTACAGTTCTGATAGACCAGCAGAGTAATCAGGTCATCTTTGTCATCTTTGTACTTGGCAGCCCTTTTGACAGCTGCCATTCCTGGATTCAACCTGTCTCAGCCTCTGCTGATCTGGACAGTATTCCTGTGAGGCATGGCCATCTGCGGATAGGGAAACCCTCAGAAGTGGGCTCTTGCCTGACCTATCCTTTATAATCCTCTTGGAACTCGGACCATTTGGTGCTTAACATTTTAACTTCTTCTGCATGCCATTTTTAATTCACCTCTTTGAAATCGAAGCTGTTTTCTTTTTACCTTCTCATTTCTACCTTATATTTCTTGAGGGCAACTGCTGTGTCTTTTGCTTTATGTCTTTTTGTTGCTGCTGTTCTTGTGTTTGTTTTTTTTTTTGGCAGGGCCTCACTATGTAGCCCAGGGTGGCCTCGAACTCTCAGCAGTCCTCCTGCCTCAGCCTCCTGAGTGCTGTACGCCACCATACCCGTATGTCTTGTGTAACAGATAATGGTACATTTAGTTCAGTAAAATTTCAGTGACTCTCTGATAATGGAATCTTAGAGTGAATTTTAAGTCATAGTTCTAATTTAAAGTCTTAATTCTGACATCAAAACTCCTACAGTTTCTTCCTATTTCATATTATCTTTTATACATTTTTGTTCTTATTTACCCTTTCAGTTTCTCATACCAGAGAGACAATGTGATATTTAAACATATGTGTCCAATTTATTTCACTTAAAAAAAAAAAAGGAAAGGGAAAGGAGGGGATGAAAACAGAGCTTTTGTAAATAAGTGGGGAGAAGGGTTTGAAGGTAGGGGATGGGATTAGGAGAAAGAGGAGTCAAGATATATTATGTACAGGTACAAACCTCCTTTGATGTATATGATTGTTATGTATATTTAAATTGTACCAATAAAATTAATTTTTAAAAAGTGATTAAAAATACAGATTGGGCCCGGAATTTGGCTCAGTGGTTCCGGCGCCTGCCTTGCAAGCACAAGGTCCTGAGTTCAATCCCCTATACCAAAAAACCCCCCAACAAACTACAGATTTATAAAATGGTTATGATCCAAAGACCCAGCGAGAGCTGGGAGTGGTGGTACATGCCTGTAATCCCAGCCCTCTGGGAGGCTGAGGCAGGAGGATCACTGAGTTTGAGGCCAGCCTGGGAAAAGACCCAGTGAGCTGCTGAGTCCTAGTAGCTAATGGTAGTAGAGGGAAATGGCTTCAGAGTCAGCCGGCAGTCCAGTGCCACCTCTGCTACTTTGAAGTGTGTGGTATTGGGCATATATCTTGCCTATGTAAAAAGTTAAATATTATTATTATATTATTACTATCAATTCTTGAAAATTTCTGACATACCAATGTAAAAAAAAAATACAAAAACAGTTGGATTATAAATTGATTATCTCATTTGGCTGAATGCTAGGCCAGTGGAGTGACCTCCATCTTGTTATAAAGCATTAAGCACTAAGTGAGGTTTATTTTCTCACATCCCTAAAGGATAGGACCATTTTTAGTTGTGGTAAACCTAGTGTGGTTGTCCTGCATCTGGTATGTGAATATAGAATTGTAGACCTAGAAGAGAAATTACTTAGTTATCTGGTTAATCTTTTAGGAAGATTTATCGCATGAACAGTTGATCATTTGTTTTAAAGATGCATAATGATAGCTAACTCTTGAAGATAGTTTGTGTCCTAGCACCCTGACAGTTGTATTTTTTTTTTTTTTTTTTTTGGTACCAGGGATCGAACTCAGGCTCTTGCGCTTGCAAGGCAGGCGGTGCAACCACTGATGTAAATCCCTGGCTCTGACAGTTGTATTTTTGGTGTTCAGCTAAGAGAATTTTGCCGTAAAACCATGCCTGTCTCTTCAGTAGGTCTTTTAGAGGAAAAAACAAAGCAGTCTGATGTTATCGTCAAGAAACATTCAGTGCCTGGTCTGCTGAAGAGGAATCTCTGCCGTCAGAGCCTGGCTTTTTAGGAATGAAAGAAGTGTCTGAAAATTTAGTTTTGTTTTTTTTTTGGTACCGGGGATCAAACTCGGGTCCTTGCGCTTGCGAGGCAGGTGGTGGAACCACTGAGCTAAATCCCAGGCCCAAGACAGTTTTTACGTAATAAAATTATTCAAGTGAAAAAATTAGTCAAGTGAAGTTGGATCTTCGGAGTAAAAGTGCCTTGTTAGGCCCTAAAGTATCTCTTTAAATGATAGCTGTCTGTCCCCTTCGCTGCATTTTCCTTTAGATTTTTTATTTTTATTTTTTAGGAGTCGAACTCGGGACCTTATGCTTGCAAGGCAGGCAGAAGAACCACTGAGCTAAATCCCTGGCCCTTCCTTTAGGTTTTTAGAGCTTACTTCCTTTTGCCTATTTTTCTTGGGCAGTTTTTTCTAAGTAACTTTGAATCTTTTTAGAGAAAGCGTTCATTGGAGCTGACAGCTTTCTTTAGAAAAGTATCAGCTCTAACTCAGTTCTTGAGTGAGAGAGCTAGAGATGCGGTTATAGGTAAATCAGTCACAATTTATGCTTAAATTGTAACCCAGAAGTGCTTGTGTTTGAATCAGGGTTGAAATTTACTCTCTTGAATGATCTTCAGTTTTCTTTCATGGAACTCACTCTGATTTCTCCAGTTTTCCTCAGTATCGTGACCAAAACCATATGCAGTATAGTAATGAGAGATTAATTGCAAAGTGCACAAGTTTCTACATCCATCTCCCATATCTTACTGGGATAATATCTTGATTGTTTTGGGTTTTCTTTTTTTTTCCTTCTGAGATGGGCTCTTGCTGTGCAGTTCAGGCTGCCCTTAAACTCACTACACAACCCAGTCTGGCCTTGAACTCACAGCAATCCTGCCTCAGCCTCCTGAGTGTTGAGATTGCAGGTGTGCTGATTGTTTTTGTAGTGGGACTGGTAGGTCATTTGTTAAATTTTGCTTATGGTCAGTTACTCCTTTTTCTATATTTATGGCTAACTAGTTATTAGGTTATGAAAAATATACTATGTTGAATTTAGATGCTGTGATGATGAGTGGCTTTTTGTATTTCATCGTAATTTAAATTTTATTCTTTCACTAAGAGCCCCATCTGATAAAATTCATCTATTGTTTTTTGATGAATATACATTCAGTTTTTTCTACATATAACTTGGCACTGAAGATTCTGATGTGAGTTTGTTTTTTTTTTTGCCACTGGGGATCGAACTCAGGACCTTACGCTTGTGAGGCAGGTGGCAGCACCACCAAGCTAAATCCCTGGTCCCTGATCTGAGTTCTTGATTAACATTTCCAGTCTTTTCTGGCTGACTCCTAATTAACTTTTGGTGGAACCCTCAAACCAGGGGTTAATTTAACTAGAAGTGGTATGGTCCGTTTCTGACCATGTGGTATTGTTTCTTAACATGAAATTATCCTTTGGAGTGGGGTTAAAAGCATAACTTTAAGATATTCCAGCTGTTATTTCTAATTGTTTATTAAGTCAAGTTTTCTCTCCTGTAATTTACTTGGAATTGAAATCAGTTATCATTTACTGATGCCTTAGCAACTGTTGAATAAATTATAGGTTAAAATGAAATACAGTTATAATGATTCATAATTGTGGTGATAACATTTGACTTTTATATCCATATTAAATACCCAAACTTTGGAAAAATGTCTCTTTTAAACAGAAATCAAAGCACAACTAATAAACCACATCTTGAGAGTTTAATAACTAATGAACCACATCTTAGAAGTTTCTTGAACTCCTCTTTTGGCTAGTACAGTGTAATAAACTTAGAACTTTCTGTGCAGCTTATTTTCTTGAAATGTAAAGTATCATTTAGTTGCCAATACAGAATATGAGTACAGAGTGTTCTTTGAGTGTGCTCTTCACCCCTGGAACATGTGGAAACTTTTCTCTTTTTGTCTTTTCCTTCCAGGGTTGCACAGAAGAGGGAGGATGCTGTTTCCAAAGAAGTGACTCGAAAACTTTCTGAAGCTGATAATAGAAAGATGTCTCGGAAGGAGAAAGATGAAAGGTTTGACTTCTTATTTAAAGTGTCAGTGGTAATCGAAAAAGGGGGTACATTGGAAAAAAATAAGCTTTTGATTTTTGCTTAGAGTGTGGCTATTGGAATTGAAGGTAAATTTTGGAATTGTGGCAGTAGCAATGAGAATAGTAATAGCTGACTTTCTGAGGTTTTATTAGCACCAGATACTTTTCTTTGAGCTACATATCAGTTAGTTTGTTCTACAGAATGAGGTAGATACTACTGTTAGCTCCATTTTGCACCTAGAGAAACCAAGGCACAGAAAACTGGTAAGTTGCCCAGGGCTGTAGATTAGTACATAGTGGATGTATGATAGTATAGGAAATCTGACTTGAGTGCTTTACTTATAACTGCTCTGCTGGAATTTAGGAGAAGACAGAGCTTTGTTGTATGTAGTCTTTGTTGTTGATATTTATGTGACCTTGAACATGTCACCTAATCCCTCAGAGTCTGAAGGGTTTACATTATGTTACATGTGAGCAATTCTAGGTGGTGGTATTTCTGGTCCAGAGCTTCCCAAGGGACATCCAGTTCTTGCATGGAAACTGGAAGCATTGGTTAGGGAAAAGAAAGAACTGGGTCGTCTTCTGTTGCCTGGTTCTGTGTCATGTTAGTTAGCCTCCCTCTCAATATTTTCTGCCAGTTGCTCGTTGAAGGTTTATTAAACAATCTAACATTTGAGTAGCCTACATCCCTGAATGACTGAGAAAATTTATGCTTAAGAGTTGCCAGATGGTTTAGTAGTCATGAGTTTGCTTATTTTTTATGTATCTTAAGTTTCACTATCAGCAGGGTGCTTTGTGGGACAGAATTTTTACCACACTTTGCTCCTATGGGAACTTGAAATATTAAAGTCATAACTTATAAAGATCAGAAACAATTTGAAAAAAGAAAAGGTATTTGAGCAAGGACCCTGGAGTGAGTTAGTGTTTGAGCACTAAATGTAGCTCCAAGCTCTCAGGTGCCCAGGAAAGCATCTGCAGTTATAACAGGTTTCATTGTCTGAAGACAAACAGCATGCACGTCCTTCTGAAAAGAAACTTTCCTGGCACTGAGACTTGGGAGGATGTTATCAACTGGATCCTTATGTAGGAACACTGAGTAACTTAATGAACAATGCCTTCTACATTGTTGAATGACACCAAAACATTAATGAAGTGATTATCTCCTTTAGATCCTTTATACAACTGAAGGCACAATATTAAAGTCATGACAATGAGGGCCTTTTTTTGCAGGAAACAGCTGTAATGAGGTCTGTCTGCAGAGCTTTCTGATTGCGTATTTTCGTGTAGGAATAGAGGTAGGAGAATCTAGAACACTTTAAAGTTTTGTTATTGTTGAATTGTATTGGTTAGAACAGTTTTGCTTGAACTGGGGTGCATATCATAGCCACTCAACTTTAAAAATGCTTGTTACAGTTGTTAAGGGTTTTGGGTGATGATTCTATCTGGGATGGCACTTGCCCACCACAGACTTGCCTGATTTGATTTGGCACTTGTTCTTAATCCTGGGACGTGTCTTAGAATCTGTCTAGTGTTTATATAGTCATTTCTGATAGGTCAGAATTGGATTTGGTAATAAAACCTCTTTGCCATATGATAGATTAGGTATTTCAAAGTAGGGTAAGGTGAGTATTTCATGTATGTATAAAATGCAGGCTGAGAATATTATAAAATTTCTGTCCTTGTTATCAGTAGAAATTTGTACTGTTAGTAATTCTCTCACAAAATCCACAGTGGATAGTTTTAACCAGGCCTGTACTGATGATTGTAATAAAATTGAGAGCTGAGGCTCTCATTAAGATTTGCTAAGTTTAATAAACATATGAAAAAATGTTCAACATCACTGGTCATTTGAGAGATGCAGATGAAAACAACGCTGAGATTCCACCTCACCCCAGAAAGAATGGCTGCTATCATGAAATCAACCAATAACAAATGCTGGCAGGGCTGTGGGGAGAGAGGAACCCTGCTCCACTGCTGGTAGAAGTGTAGACTGGTGCAACCACTGTGGAAATCAGTATGGAGATACCTCAAAGAACTAAGACTGGAAGTCTCATTTGACCCAGCTATTCCCCTGCTGGGTATCTTCCCCAAAGAATTAAAAGAGTCATATCACAGTGATATATGTGCACCCATGTTCATAGCAGCACAGTTTGTAATAGCTAAAACTTGGAAACAGCCCAACTGCGCATCAGCTGGAGACTGGATAAAGAAAAGGTATGTTTTTTATAAAATGGAGTACTACTCAGCCATAAAAAATAAAAAATTAGAGACATAGCTAAATGGATGCACATTGAGGCAGTACTCCTAAGTGAAATAAATAGGACACACGTGTAAATACCGAATAGTTTCTCTAATGTGAGAAACTGAAAATGCAAATAAGTACTAAAAGGTATAATAGATAATGTGAAATATGAAGAAAAGTGGTGAAGGGGAAGTGGGAGGGGTAGGGGAAAGGAAAGAAGGGAATGGAATTAAGGTGAGAAAATGAAAAAATGGAAACAGTCTTTGTAAATAGGGAGGGATGGAGGGGTTGAAGGGACGGTAGGGGAATGGGGAAAAAATAAGAACGAAGAGTGATTATGTAGAGGTACAAATTTTCAATGATAAATGTCATTTTATTGTATACCTAAAATGTACCAATAAAATTATTAAAAAAACCAAGATTTGCTAAGTTTCTCAGAAGAAACATTACTTCTAAGAGATTTGATCTAAGGGAAGCCTCATCAGCTCTTTCCTAGATCTGTGTATCCCAAAGCTCCATCTACAATCATTTGAAGTATATACTCCATGCCACTTTGAAAGTACTTTAAAATATCCATTCATCTAAGGATAGAAATAAGCAGAAGGCAGTTGAAGATCCATAAATGTTTGCTCCAGGGGTGAGTGTTATTTATTTTTGACTTATTGATGACCAGTTACTTAACCTTTTCTGGTCATAACAGTTGCTGTTGGGTCTCAGCTTTTCTCTTGTTGCAGGAAGCATTTCCTGGAAGAGTGACTCCTTGGGAGGTATTCTCCCAGGTATTCTCCCAAGTTAGATTTTTCTGTCAGTGAAGCTTCGAAAAGAGGACATTTAGGGGTTTAATTTTTATCAAAGTAACGAGTATATGGGTAGGCCAGAAAAGTTCCAAAGGCTGTCAGACAGGTCCTGACTTGTATACACTGAAGGACACGTGGTAATAATTGGGAGCTAAGGTAACCTAATGGATTGGACCTTCTTTCATCAAAACTATTTTGACGATGATTCTGATTCAGAACATGACAGAAAGGGAGCTAGCTAGGGAGAAATCCGTTGGAGATTTGGTAATTTAATCAGAGTAAAGGCATGGTAGTAGATTACTTAAGGACCCTGTCTTCATTGGGTTTTGTGTTAAAAATAAATGCATTGCTTTCTTTGATCAGTCTAAAGATGGTGAAATGTATTTTCTGTGTGTGTGTGTGTGTGTGTGTGTGTGTGTGTGTGTGTGTGTGTGTGTTGAGGCAGAGTCTTACTATGTTTTCCAGGCTGGTCTTGTGCTGGTCTTGAACTTGTATCAGTTTTCCTGCCTCATCCTCCCAAGTACTGGGATTATGTGTGCCACCATGCCTGGCCAATTTTAAGTTTTATATATATATATATATATTTTTTTTTTTTTTTTTAAGTTTACATTTAAACTTCTTTGAAATCAGAATGGGTTTCATATTTGATAGCTTTACTTAATGTAGCATCTTTCTTTTCTCCCAAACTTAAGAGTACATTGAAAATTTTTTAGGTTCATAGTATCTATTGAACCAAGGAAACAGGGCGTATGTGTTACAGATTGTACATTTCTGATGATGAAGATAAGGCCCGTTAGCTCTTTCACCTTTTATAACCAAGCTTGTTGGCCTTGGATTAGGACACTTAAGGAGTGAAACACTTCCGCCATGTGCATTGCCATTAGGGTGTGTGAGGGTGTAAGAGGATGGGTCATCTGGCACCACAGAATGGTATCTTTTTCTCAGCCAAAGCATCTGCAAGCTGTGCCTTACAGTCTTTTTGATAAGGACCCACAGTGAAACAATGTATTTTAACTGTTGACAAAATAACACTCATTTATGTACATGAAAATGTTTCACTTAATAATAATTACCCTACCGTGTATGGTACAGTCTTTAATATTTTTGTATTCTTTCCTATTTCATATTTTTAATGGTCCACTCGGGTCATTTCATATCCCACTAATGGTTCACAACCTACCCTTTTAAAAACTGCTTTACAGAGTTAATTAACCAAGAGTAACACAGTGAGCCATTCCGAGGCACCCTGGAACTTCTTGGTTATGTGGAGGGCTAAAACAAAAGATTGATGAAGTACTAGCAAAATATAAGATGAAATATCAGAACAAGTAAAGCAAAATAAAAAGTAAAAAGGGTTTTACAAACTTGAAAGTCCTCTTATGATAAAGCTGAATCTTTGAATTAAGGAAAGATGCCTAATAGTGTACTTCTTTGAGGCCACAAACAGTTTTAGTCCTGAGGATTGTCTTCTCAGGTTGAAATTGAATGCGGAACTCCATAGGATATACTAGAGCCTCAAGCCAGGGTATGGCTACTGAAGCCTGTTTCCATTGGTCCAGTGCTATCAAGAGCATATTTTAGGTGCGGGAAAAAGATGGCTGTTTCAGCTGCAGTCTCTTTCTCCATAGCCCTGGCTGACAAAATTGTGACATACCCACCAACATCAGAAAAGAGAGCAAAATAGCCATTTCAGTGGAAGAAAGGGGATAATTCTGACTAAATTTATTGAAAATGGATTCTCACCCTTGAACGCTTAAGGAAAAACTTAAAAATGAATGAGAGCCATGTGGTGTTTAAAGTTTTTAGTCATATTTATAACTTGTTTGACTTGTTTCTGTGTCTCTAGAATCTTGTGGAAGAAGAATGAAGTTGCTGATTATGAAGCTACAACATTTTCCATCTTTTATAACAACACTTTGTTCCTGGTCTTGGTCATTGTTGCTTCCTTCTTTATACTGAAGAACTTCAATCCCACAGTGTATCCTTTAGAAGGCTGATTAACTATTTCACTTGCCTAGAAACAGTAGTATTAGTTATGACTTACTGGGTGTCGTAAAGGAAAGAAAAACTGCTCTGGGAATCAGTCCATTAAGTAGCACTGACTTCAGGCAAGTTTCTGGACCTTTAAAAGAATAGTTTGGGGTTTGAGTTAACATTTTTTTTAAGTTTGTAAATTGTGACTTTATGATAAATCACAAGTATTATGAAGCAGTCTAGTACTGTGTATTTGATTATGTGACTTAAAAGTGCCAAGGAGTCAAAGCAAACTTCCCTTCTTTGATCACTCCTGGCATAAGCATATTTTATCTGCTGTTATTTTGGGACTTTGAGGTTGGGTGGATGGCCTGTGTAGTTAAGTAAGCACAATTTGTAATTTCTTAAAGGTGTTATCCAGGAATGTGCAGCCAGACTTAGCAATTGGAGATTGTGATGTATATAATATCAGACACCCCTTCTGGGAAAACTACAATGGTTTGTCAAAAAATGGCCTAGTTCTGAGTCTGAGAATAGCTATGAACTTTTTCATAAGCCAGTTGTGGCAAGGCACTGATTGACAGGAGGCTTATTTTCCTTTGCTACTGGGGAAGGCAGGCAGAAGTGTCTCTTCCTTAGGTGTTCCTTGATCAGCTCTTCTGAAGGTTAAATGGGATTTGGTTGTATTCTTAGTGATCATCTGTTTAGGTTTAGCTTTGTTTTAAAGTGTTTTATTTTAAAAATCGGAACACATTCCTGTGGAATATTTTTAATTCTTGTAAACCATGTTTACAGACAGCTACACATCATTTTGATTATACTGAGTGTTGCGGGGGAAACAGTACATTCCAAAGAGATGGACTCTTTTATTTGGTTGAAAAACTAATATTCCTTAACCTTAAATTCTTATAGGAACTACATTTTATCCATAAGTGCTTCATCAGGACTCATCGCCCTCCTGTCAACTGGCTCCAAGTAGACATGTCGGCTTAGCACCCTGCTGTGTATTATGGGTGGTCAGGGTGAGAGACACACAAGATGTTTTTATGTCTGGAGTTTGAAGGTTTAAAAAAATGTAACAGAATGTAATTCATTATTTGTTTATTGGCTCTTTTTGACAGATTGGTGAAATTAAATGAATTGAAAGGGAAATTCATAGAGTACCAGAACATTTATTAAAAGGCAAGAAGACTTGTTTGTAATGTGCTGAAATAACAAGTGGAGAAAATAACTTATTTCCTTGATCTGTCAGAGGTCACAGTAACCTGTGGGCTGAGCTGTTATTATTTATAATAGTAGCAAGAAGTTAATAACTGGTTCTCTATGTTCCAAGCACAATATTACAACTTTTTTTGAACTGTAAATATCAGAATGAATCCTCTTCCCAGGGGATTGAACAGAAGCCTCATGTTTACAAGGCTCTGAATTTGTTAGTTAAGACCCCCCCCCCCCACTTTGTTTTTTTAAAGAAGAAAGGCCACCAAGGTAGTAAGTAACCTAAAAATAGTGCACAGGGCTATGAGAGTTGGCCTGCAGGGTTAAAGCACACACTCTTCAGCTGTATGACTGGCCCTGGGTGGCCACAGAGGTCAGCTTGACCCTGCCATGTTGGTTTTATACGTTGTCATTGGAATCATTGTTTTCCATGAGCATGGTTTCACACCACTGGAAGAATGTTATGAGAGAAAACCTCTTTCCTGAATATTGACATGTAAAAGACCAAAGTAATTTTTGTGAACTTAATTCTGGAATTCTAAGAATTCATCAAGGAATTTGCAGTGGTGTGTTTGTCACCATTTTTCCACTAGGACTTAAGTTTGACTCTTTAGTCCACAAGTTAGACAAAATATTGATCTCTTCAGCCCTAGAGAGTCCAGCTGAGAGCAGTCTTGCATTTTTAACTAGTGTGTGTACAGATACTATCATTTATTGCCTGTACCATGAATTGAAATTTCCTACAAGTTGTACCTCAAAAGGAAATGTATTGCTGATCTTTAGTTTTTCACTTGTAAATTTAAGGTGAACTTTATAAATGATATTTATTTATAACTTTTTAAACAGGTATTCATTCAGCATTTACTTATGTGCTACCGGATGTGTTGGTGGGCTGCCTCCAAGAGCTTTTTAAGAAAAGCCGGGGCTGGAATGCATTTGCATTGTGACCCAGATTGTCATTGTCTACAGTTGTGGTTTACTTTTCATCAGTTCTTCTAGAAGTTGGCAATTCTTTACTTTTCTTTGCTGCATTATTACCTGAGTGCTATCGTTAGCTAATGTGGACTGAATAGGAGGTAAGAGATTGACTGCAAAGTACAGTTGGGTAACACATAAGAGGTTCATTTTTGTTATATCTTTAGTTTGGCTGGTGGCATGGAATTTGTGTACCAGTACATTTGTTTACCTGATGAAATGATTCTTTGACAAATCTTCAAGTGTAACCCATGCTGGACCAAATATATTTTAAATAGCTGATCAAAATTTTCCACTAGGGCCGGGGATTTAGCTCAGTGGTTTTGCCACCTGCAACGGAAGCACAAGGACCTGAGTTCGATCCCCAGTACCAAAAAAAAAAAAATTGCCACTAGAGGGCAATGCTTGTGTAGGTGGGAAAAAAATCACCACCAGTCTTAGTATAAAACTGTGGGTGAGGTGGGATGGTGAAATAGCCCAATATTCTCTGTAGAATTTCTCTTGAATTAATAAACCAAACGTTTGTGGAAAAGTGAGTAAGCAAAATTTGTTTTCTGTCCTGAATATTTTGTATGGCACTTTAAAAAAAATCCTAATAATAGTCTCTTTCTATACTGCTAGATACATTTCTGTGCATATGAGTGTATATTCAAAGTTGAACAGTTTATATTAAGAATTATTGTGCTAGTACTTTGCTCTTGGAAATGCAGAAACTTTTCCTCAGTATTCTCTATCATAAAGAGCCATTTGGTATGAAGAGATATGATGTGCTGAATTGGACTTTGATAGTGAAAGCCTCCAGCAGAATTTCCATCTTAAAAAGACCCCATACCCAACACCAGTAGAATGAAAGGTATTCTGCTGTAATTGGGATTCAAAGGGATTGCATTCCTATTTTCTCAGTCATGATGCACAGAAATTTAGTGTTAAAACATTCATTTGCGTATTTTCATTTTCTGATTTACAATTTAATAAAAATCTTGGATTGAAATGTACAGGTTGTCCTATTTGGTACATTATTGTGATTTGGAAAGGATAATTTGAAACAAGATTTGAAGTTAACTGAAATAGGGAGGTTGAATGCATACACAAAATTTTTAAGAAAAGTCCTAAAATGTGATTAAACTTTGCTTTTTAAAATTTGTGTTTTCCCTAGTCTTCTTTATGAGAGCCAAGTAAATAATTACATATTTTTATTACATTATTTCACATTAAATGTTTTAATGTTTCACACATGCATACTGCATTTTTTAAGTCACTGATCAAATATCTGTGAGGTGCTGTTAGGCATAGTGCAGTTATAGTAAAGAGCAGATGCCAGGCCACTGCCAGTGTGCACCTGCTGAGACTTACTGCCTACCCCGTTTCTTTCCAATGTGCTTGCCAGTCACTGCTGTTTCTGGGGACACTAAAGGACATGATACACCCATGTACATGTATGGAGAACACCAGTCTACAGATACATCTGTTTGGACAGTGAGCAGTCGTGTCCTGCCTCTTTAGACTCCAAACAGGATAATTAAAGGAAGTTTGGGAGGGTCTTTTGACTAGCAGGATTAGATGTTCAGGGAGATGGGTAATTCCTGTTTGCCTTCTTGAGTTTTCACTTCATCTTTTTTTCTGATTCCTGAATTTGGATTCATACTCCAGCTTTTTAAACTTAGTAATTCTTACATATATAAAGAAATGCATAAAACTTTAAAACCTAAGAAGAAAAAAATTCTTAACAGAAGCACTGGTCTGTGACACAAAGTATGTGAGTTCTAAGCCTGGTTCTGCCATCAGCAAGCAGTGTGATTTTAGGCATGTTCTTTCACCTGTCCTGGTCTGTTTTTCTTACTGATCAAAGGAAGTAGGTGGCTTTGCAGGTGGCTAAGGTTCCTTGAAACTTTGCCATTTGCCTCATGACTTTTGGAACTTATTTATGAAAATGAAGTGTCAGTTCTTAAAGTCGGAAGCCAGGCACAAGATTACTGGTTTGAATTTCTCCTGCCTAAGATATCAGTATAGGGATGGCCACCACCCAGGTGACCCTTTTGAATATGTTTTCTGCCAAGAAATTCTTAAGAGGAAAAGACAATGAGAGTGGATATAATTTTTTTCTTAAGGACATGATTGTGAAATATTTTATCTGCTATATTTACTGTAGCAGATAATTTGTATTTTAAAAATTTGGCTCTTCCCAAAACTAAGTAGTTTTGTATTTGGCCTTGATTTGCAGTTTTGTTTTGTTTTTTTAAAAGCAGGGTTGAGAAGCCTTAACCTAAAGGCAAAATGTTCTAAAATACAGAGAAAAAGTAGGTAATCATATTTTCCATTAGTAAGAGAGAAATGTTTGGATTATAGTTTTATTCTCCGCCTTGATCACTGACTTTTGTTGAGTATTCAGTGCAGTTTAGTTGTCAACATATAACATATTTAGGTGATTGTTGCCCATTTTATGGTAACATATGTAAGTATATATGTAGCTTATGCCTCATAATGAAAGAGCAAATAAATTGTGAGATTGCACAAAATGCTTTTATTACTCTAAGCAAGTAAGTTAAAATTGCATTTCCCATTAAGATAGCGCCTCAGCTCATTTATACATACAGTAGTTCACTGGATTGAATACACAATGAACAGCTGAAAAAATCCATTCCCATCCTTAATCTGATAGTCACAGGCAAAAAATCCAAAATCTCTATCAGACTACAAAAAGTAGTGATCAAACAGAAATATTTGTTGGTATCTTAACATTTTAAGATTTAGAACTTAACCATGAAATAGTTATCTGGAAGTAATGACAAAATAGCATTTTAAGATGATATATTTCTTAATGTAAATTTCAAAGTGATTTCTCTATGGGGAACTTGCTGACCAGATAATTAAATTAGAATCTTGCACATCCTCAGATGTCCAAATAGAATTAAAGAACCACTCTTAACCCTGAAAAAAGTAAGACATGTTCTCTTCCTTTTAACAGATATCCACAAAGTATATTCTCATAGTTTTTCTCAAGTGGGATGTTAATGAAGGAAAAGCTAGCCAATAGGGGAAGGGCTAGATATACCTCAGATTCTGAGTGCAACAAAGCTAAGCCCCTTTAATACATGCAAAGAGCTTTCATGCATATATTGTGGTGCATGTAATATAGAGTCAGGAGCTTCTTGGACATTTTGCTTTTCACTGGGAAAATTTAGATGGCATATTCTGAGTAGTGACATGTTTTTCACAAAGCCTACGATTTTTAGGTTAATAACTCCTCAGATATACCAAGCATTATATTGAAAAGTCCCAGTGGTAGTTAAATAGTGAACATTTGCCTTTCTGGGTATTTTACAGGTTTACTTACAAAACTGAGCATTTGTGTGTTTTTAAAGCTCAAATATTTAAGCTTGCAGAAGTTCTATTTACACGCAATTGAAAGTACAAAGCAAGTTTTAATGTAAAAAATGAACTCAATTGCACATTTTATTCAAAGCTTAAGCTTCCATGTCATTGTAACCCTCCCCATCATAAATTATCCACAATATCTCGAGTTGAAGAGTGGAGTACTCATTTCTCATCTCTACATGTAAATGGACGAAAGATTTTTAGAATCCTAAAAGATACTCCAAATAAATTGTATAGGACCAAGCATCAGTAAATACTTAAAAAGGTAATGAAAGGATTTTCTTAGAAATTTTTGTTGAATGACAATGAAATAAAACTTGCTAATATGAATATGAAATAAGAGAATGTAAAAGTGTTTCTGCTTATTCTCCCAAACAAGACTTCTGAATGACAGTATTCTACTCTGCCTCTTACGCAATTTATATTGCATCTGTGGATTTTGTTCTTTTGAAAAAATATATCTGTACAGCCTTCTTTAAGGTAACAAATACCTGAAAGTAATGTCTTTTCCCCCATATTCTTTCCCATTGCATAAGCATGAGGTCTACAGAGCAATGCAAGGATAGGGGACTCCAGTCTAAGATAAGAAAATAGAATGGATTTCTTGGTTATGAGTGTTCAGATGTGCTTAGAACTCAGGTGCACAGTGGTAGCAACAGCAGACACCAGAGAATCCAGGGACACTAGAGGTTTAGCAGCAGGCTGCTAAGTGATTGAAAAGGGTGGCTAGTAACACCAGTCTGTGCTGGGTACAGACTGCCATTTTACCCATGCAGCTTCTGTGGCTCATGCATTGCCTTATGATCTATAGTCCTTTTTGCTGTAGGGCTTGTTTCTCAATATGTTATCAATCTCATTTACCACATGTGATGTCATCTTTGGGAGAACCTGAGAACAGGAAGAGAAGAATGTGGTTAGCATTTGTTTTCATGTGCTCAATATTGAGCAAAGTCATCTATTCATAAACCAGAGCTGGAATATAAGCTCTCCACTAGACTAAGGTTCTTGAGGTCACAGATCTTATTCATTGACTGAATAAGTAAAAGCATGAGAGGTTTGTAGAAATACAGAACAGTTGTATCCAGTAGAAATAAAATAGAAGCTACAGGTAATTTCTTAAAAAGCAAAAAGTAAAATTAATGCATTTATTCCATTATATCAAAAGCATTTCAAATATGAAATCAATATGGAAAATTAAAATATTGTTTTTTTAATTAACCCCTACGAATTTCTGTGAACATTGTACACTCACAGTGTATTTACATTTGGACTAGCCACCTTTCATGACCTCAATGGCCACGTGCCTAGAAGTTGCTTTCATAGACAGCACTGGTATAGAGATAGAGGAAAGACTCCCTCTAACTGGTGTTTGGAAGCCCAGTAGAGGATGACCAGGGTTAACAGGCATCACAGGTAAGTGTGCTAACAAGGAGTGGTGCAGGGTGGATATAGTAGGAGTGGAGGAAAGAGAAGTTGAGGTAGAGTGTGGCAAACCTTGAATGCCATTTTACGGAGTTGGATCTTTACTCTGCAGGCAGTGGGGAACCTCTCAGGACTTTGAATCAGAAGTGAGTCCTTCAGACACCTGGAGGTAGTTTGAAGGATGCGTTGGAGGAGGCCAAGAGGGGATGAGTTAGAAGCATTGCAATACAAGCTGGAGACGGCCTTGGGAAGCAGAGTGAAGTGGGAGAGAAGAAGGCCTAGAGACATGGAGAATGGTGTGGTTTTGAGACTGACTAGGATATTGGTATAGTTTGTTGAGATTGGAAACCAAAGGAGCAGTCATTTGGGGATAAGAAGTTTGTAGTGGTATATGTTGATCCAGGTAGAAATAATTTTAAGCAGCTCGAAGTGCAGCTTTAGGAGCTTAGTAGTTGCAGGAGGACTGGAGTTGAGGCCTTGTGAGCCACTTGCAAGATATGCTCACCGGAACCCTGGGAAAGGAGTAGGCTTCTCTAGGGCCAGGATTTATTGTAGGAAGTGGGCCAAGGACACACATGACACTCTAAAGACAGGCACAAAGGCTGACTTTCTTGCTGGAAAAGTCTGACCCTGTGTGGCGACTGTGGTGAAATGCAATTATGATGACCAATTCTGAGATTTCAGCCTCACCCTTCCTTTGCTGCAGTCCTGCTGGCCACAGTGACCTTATCTCCACTCAAGTGCTATCCTTAGAAGGCTTAGGATTTGGCTGAATAGTGGAGCTACACAGCCTGGGCAGCGTTTGATTGCGGTGAAAGTTTTGCTATCTGAAGCTAAAGGAGGAGTTTGGTTTCCTACCAGCTCTGAGTCTCCGTGGGTCTAAACAGCCAATGTGTTATTTAAAAGTGAGATTGTAAAAATGAGACTGAAATTTGGAAACTAGATTTGGTGGAAGCTTTGGGTCTAAACTGGTCTAGCCTTGTCAAGAGAAAAAATTCATTACATCAAAATACATTTAAGGTAGAAAAGAGATTTTTTAAAACCCATAAAAGTACTTAAGTAATGGGCTGGAGATTTAGTTCAGTGGTTTCGCCGCCTGTCTTCAAAGTGCAAGGACCCAAGTTCAATTCCCGGTACCAAAAAAAAAAAAAAGTGCTTAAGTAAAACTGAAAAATGTATAGTAAGGACAAAATGAAGAGGAGCCATACCTTCAGAGTTTTATCTGAAATCGCCCAGTTTTTAAAAATATTGGCAACAATTTTACATTTTAAGCTACTTAATAGGTCCATACTACCCCCCCCACTCCCCACCCCACCCCGCCCCATATCAGTTTTGGAACCTGGCTGGAAGTCATGGAGTGAGCAGAGGTTTGACTAGTGGTGCCTGGGCTGGTGGGGACTCAGGGGAGGCCTCCTTGAATTTAGTCACTGTGGATCTGTACTGTGAGGATAGAGTAGGGTTTTGCTAGGCAAGATTGGCCACTTGAGAGTCAGAGGATGGATCACTATATCTGGGGATTTGAGTGTCTGCTGGTGGCTGGAGATGAGGATTCTGTGGAGTTTGTGTGTGTGTGTGTGTGTGTGTGTGTGTGTGTGTGTGTGTTGTAGGACTAGGGGCAATAGGCTTAGATATGAAGGGCTTGGCTGCTGAAGAGCCTGGATTTCTCTGGGTAGGTGATGGGGAGCCTCAGAGACTTTGGAGGTTGGCATTGGAGGTGGGGATCCAGAGGCAATTCTGTTCACTTTTAGGTAGAAGTGGGAACAATGTGGACCTGTGCAGCCGGGCTGCCTGCAGCTGTGGTTTCTGTCCTCTTTCCCACCTATAGAGCATCTGATTTGTGTCCACCCCTCCAGCTTTTGCATGCCTCAGGCATAGTCTGTCCTTTGGAGCAGCTGCCTCCCCAGCCTGCTAGAAAATTCCTTACAAGGGTGGGCACTCTCCACTTTCCATTCTTCTGCAGCCAGTCCCACCAGTGCTGAGTGTGTGGAGATGGAGCCAAAAGGGAAAGCCCCCCAGGGTGGCAGCCTTGCTGCTTGAGTAATGTCCCTTTTCCCTTTCCCTTTCCCTGTGAGCATGAACGCCTCTTCCTTTACCAGCCAGAGCTTTGGTGGGGAGGAAATGCTTTCGGAAGATAAGTGACTCACTGTTGCCTCTTTTACGCCTTCCCCTGGCAGCATGACCTCCCCTGGGATGGGGCGATTACCCTGAATTAGCATAATAGGAAACCTACATTCCTCCCTCTTCCTGCCAAGCCATGTTTGTCTTTTCCAAACGTGTGAGATTGATTTACTTTCTCCACCTCCTTGTCCTAGCCTGCTGTCCTGACTTTCATTTTTGCTTTCCACGTGGCAGATCAAGTTATCGTTATTCAGTGGAAGCATGTCCCATTTCTCAAAGCCCTCCACAGAATTTCATACCCTGGAAATGTAATGTCCTGGGAGATCTGGTGCCTGCTCTCCACACCAGTGCATCCCCCGTTCCTTTCTTCTTGGCTTGCAACACATTGGCCACATTGGCTGGAGGCTGGCAGTGTCTGGGAAAAGCCCAGTTCCCTCCTGACTCAAGGCCTTTGTACTGTTCTTCCCGGTGCCTGGAATACACTCCTGGGCTTTTCAAATGTTGTGAGATGGATGTGAATAAATGGGAAGGCCTTGAAATAAACATCCCAGAGGGGCCTTTTGCAGACATCAATTTAAGTCTCCCATTTTTCCACTAGTCTATTACAGCAGCCTGTTTATTTACTTGGTAGCTCTTTCCACAACCTGAAATAATTTTGTGTGTTTATTTTTATCTATCTCCTGGTATATAAGCCTCTTGGAGTAGTTTTCTTTTGTCCTTTAGTATCACCAGTTCCTGATACATAGTAAGTAGGCTCTTAAAGATCTGTTGAATGAATTAAGGGATAGATTTCTTACTTGATTTTCTCAGCTAGCTCATGAGCAATTTGAAGGCAGGATCTTGTTCTTACTTATTGCAGTACTCCCACTGCCTATTTCTTGGTGCCAGACAGAATGAGTACTCTGAAAATATTAGTGAAATTATTAGATTGAATTTTAGTTCTTTTATGTACAAACTCTTCCTCTCTCCTGTCCTCACTGTGTAGGGCAGCTGTGTGGAGCAGCACATAGGAGGGAGCCTTCTCCATGAAGAAACAGGGACCCCACAGAATTCAGGAAGAATTGTGGGGCTGGGCAGAGTTCTTGGAAGCAGGGGGTTGGTGGTGCTTTACCCTGCTCTGTATCCCTAAGAAAAGTGTTGGTGGGAAGGGAGTCTACACCATTTATCCCCCAGCATATTCTGGGCTCTTATTTAAAAGGGCTTTTTTACACTGGGAGTTAAATTTGTCCCTACTTCTATTTAATCTCTTTCTCCTTTTAGGAGAGCTAACAATGCTGCTTGTTGCAGGAACAGGTGGATGGGGGAGAATCTGTGAGACAGTTCTGTTCCTCTGTGAGTAGGAAGGAAACAGATACTTGTCCTTGCCTGCTGCAGCATGTAGCAACTGGCTATTCCTATGGCCTTCGGTGGGGCTGAGAGGGGCAGGCTCCGGACTGAGATGTGGCCCTTGGGAAGAGGACTAGTCACAGCAGACATCAGCCTCCCCACTCTGCTTAGCTAGAACACCCAGGAACATCCCCTGGCTCCTGCTTGCCCCTCCTCTGCCTCGAGGCTCCCCACAGTGCTGCTGCTGGCTCTATTGAAAGCCAGGACCACAAGCCATCCTTGGTGGTAGGGTGGGAGAGTGGGATGGGCCTCCTGAATTTGCTTCTAGAGAGACAGGATCCAGGACATCCAAATAGAATTTTTGAGCCCATTCTTCTTAAAATAAAGCCAATATTAATTCAACAGTTATTTCTTGAGTGTTGACTAAGGGCCATATAGTATGCTAGAAACTAGAATTCAGTGGAGAAGCAGGGACAGGTCTCTGGTCTCAGAAGCCTTACAGTCTAGCAGAGGAGACAGGCAGTTAGACATTCACTGTCCTAAACGTTACGATGAGAAGGGGGAAGTAACAGGAAGCTAGGAGATGGGAAATGACGAGGGACTTGGCCCAAAGAAGGTTGGCAGTATCTGTGGAAGGAATAAATGACATGTACATATTGTCCTATTTCTATTAGATTTTAAGTAGGTGAGTAAGAAGGTTTTTATGGTCAGCCCGGGGAAGTCAGTTGCTAGGAGTAATATTGGAATGCACTGTCCTACAGAAATGAACCACTCTGAGAAATTAGCTTTGGGAACACTGCCTGTTAATAATACAGAGGACAACCCTGGATCTATAAACAAAGCTTTCTGTTGCTTCTTACGCCTTTGTTCCCCCACTCCCAGTACAGAGGTGGAGACATGTTAAAAGGCACCATGACATTCCCTGGTGTCATGGGAAAGAGCTGGCAGGAAAGAGCTGCAGTACTTGCCTGAATGGCACCGAGGTTTTCAATGAGTTGCTCGGGAGTGGATGATCCCAGGAGTACAGAACTCACGCCTTCATTTCTCAGGCACCAGGCTGGGAAGAGAGAACATAAGGTCGGCAGGTCAAAGCGCCTGTGGTTATTGGTTAGTGTATAAACACCAGGTATAGCTATGTTTGTTGCAGCCAAAATGTATTAACTTTTTTTGTGGAAAGTGCTCCCTGGGATTAAAAACCTGAGCAGCACCCCCTGGTGTGCAGGAGATGGATAGAATCTGCATTTGAATTACAGGTTTAGGGTTCTTATGCTTTCTGCTTGGGGCCTTGCCTTGGCTACTTGGCATTCAGTCCGGCTACTCACCCAAGAACACATCCTTATCTTGCTTTTCCATCTCATTCCTGGTCTTGCTTTTCCTCATCTGTTGTTTCAAAGACCTATAGACTTGATGTCTGGTTCCTTCATTTCCACCTGCCACCTCCTGTGTGGATTATCTAAATTACTCCCTCACCAACACTTAATCTTAATCCCTCACACCCCCTCTCCTGCTCTGGGGAACCAGGTGTGTTTTTTCCCCTCTTGCTCCTCCCCCTTCCTCCTCTCTCTTCTCTCTCTCTCTCTCTCTCTCTCTTTTTTGTACCTGGGATTGAACTCAGGTCCTTGCGCTTGTGCAGCAGGTGGTGAAACCACTGAGCTAAATCCCCGGCCCATCCTTTTTTTTTTAAAAGTAAAAACCTATTGGTACAATTTATGCACCCGCCCCCAAAAAAGTACTTTAAAAGTACTTAAATACTTTTATTTACCAACATTACCATTTTTAGTGTGTAATCATTTTATTTTTTTAACCTGGAATTGAACCCAGGGCCTTTGCACTCAGCTAAATCCCCAGATCTTTATTTTGAGACAAGATCCTGCTAGGTCACTAAGTTGTCCAAGCTGGGCTGGATACTTGCTATCCTCCTGTCTCAGCCTCCCAGAGAGCTGGAATTACCAGTGTGTGCTACCATGCCTGGCTACAACTACCACTATTTTTAATCCAGATTTAGAACATTTTTACCACTCTAGTAAGACCTGTCTTGCCTGTGAGTAGTTAATCCCTATTGCTACACTGGTCCTAGGAAACTGCTAATCTGCTTTTTGTCTCAAGATTTGTCTTTTCTGGACATTTCCTCTGAATGAAATCAAGCACCATGTGGTCTTTTGTATTTGGCTTCTTTCACTTAGTGTGCATAGTTTCTTCGTGTGGTAGCGAGTGTCAGTGGATTATTTTTTCATTGTTCACTGTGTGGGGTACACAGGGCCTACCTTTTGGGTGGTTCAGCCATCTTCTCCAGCCCTGCCACCACTGCCCTCATTCAGGTGCTCACCTTCTCTCTCCTGCATAACTGATTTTTCTACCTCTTTCTTAAGTTCCCCTCCGCTCCCGCATATAACTTCCTCACATCCATTGCAGTTTCTCTAAGTATAAATCTGATCATGTCACTTGCCTGGCTAAAAGTGCTTCAACTTGTGTATGACAGAAATCATTGTCCTATTAAATAAAATTCATTTCTTTTGCCCTAGCAAACATTGCTTTTTTTTTTTTTGTACCGGGGATTGAACTTGGGACCTTGTGCTTACGAGGCAGGCGGCAGAATCACTGAACTAAATCCCCGGCCCTTCAAACATTACTTTTTAATCTGCCTCTCCAGCATCATGGCTCCTTGCCTTGATTTTTGTGCTTTGGGAGTACATCCTCTTCATCCCCAAACATCTGGCTGCTTTTCCCTCCTCTGCCTCCTGGGGCACTTCACTCAAACTGTCCCCTTTGCCTGGAATGTGCTTTTTGCCTCTTCCCTTCCTTTGCCTCACTGATGTCTACGCATCCTCTGAGATTCCCAGGCCTATCGCCTTCTTCAGACTCCCAGGCTGGGCTGGATACCCCTACTCTTAATTCTCTAAACCTCCATCCCATTCTCAATATTGTAATACTGCCTGGGGCGCTGTCAGAGGCCTGAATCAGAGGCTTGACTATCTGTACTCATTCATTCCACTCTTCAAGAGTATGAGAGTAGTTAATCCTTTGCAGGTCCCTTGTTGGGGTATATTTGCCAGGCTGTGCCATAAAAATGGAAAAGTGAGTTTATTCAGTGTGGCCACATTGAGATGGCAGCCAGTCCACCCCCTTGAGCATGCAGAAGTACTCCAGTTTCTAGACTGGGTAGAACAAAAGCTAGGAAATAATGCATGTGTAGATTCGGTCTGGCTTTGGCCCACGCAGGGGCCCAGGAAATGTTGAAATGTTGAAGCCTCCTTGGCACCGGGTGGGTGGGGTGGGGTGGTGGTTTCTGCTCTCAGCATGAGGAAGCTGGAGGAATAGCTTATGTTAAAAAAAAGAAAGAAAATCCAGTTTTTACAGGACGATTTTTACTTCTAGGTTACACTATCTGTTTATTTTCTTGGCTTGCCCATTAGGCTGTGAGGTGTGGCTAATTTGCAGTTGGATCTCAGAAAACAGCCCAGTACTTGGCAAATAGGAGGTACTTATTAAATGTTTGTTGAATTAATATCACCATAGATGATTGATGTGTGCCCCTGGCATGTCTTCTGTCCCTGTTCGTTGAAGGCCTGCTGTCCAGTGATAACTCTTAAGCTGTTACCATGCTGGGGTCTTTTACAGCAATCCCTAGGTCTTTCCACATGGGTAAATAGTGCTCCACAAAGGCACCAATACAAGAGATCCAGGGCTTTTTTTGTTGTTTTCCAGCTGGGTCTCACTATGTATTTCAGGCTGGCCTTGAACTCACTCTGTAGTCCAGGCTGGTCTTGAACTTGCTGCGATTCTCCTTCAGCCCTTGAGAACTGGAATTACAGATGTGCACCACCACATCTGGTGAGATCCAGGGCTTTTTTATTCTCCTTCTTTCTTTTTCCTTTTTTCTCCCCCCCCCCCCACTCTGTTTTTTGGTGTCTGCATTATTTCTTGCTTTGCACTTAGAACTCTTCTTGGCCTTAGTGGGAGTTCTGAATGTAACGTAGAGCTCCAGGCAGGTCACTGCCCCTGAACAACTTTGAAGTCAGTAGCAGCTGATCCTAGTGGGCTGCAGGGCACAGGAGAGCCTATTGGCTGATGCTAGAGGATTAACATCTCTCACTGAGGGTCACCTGCTAGCACAGCAGGAGTCCCTGTTCACTGCCCGTGGTGTGACGCTGGCTCCTGTGCAGGTATGTTACTTGGGGAGCCAGCACAGTCAGGCTGAAGTGGTTTGTTTCCTGCCCAAAACTCTCCTTTCTCCCACACCCTCCTTTCAGATCAAAGGTAATAGGGTGGAAATCATTTCCCTTTTGATTTTGAGAGTTCTGTGGTTAAAAACAAAACTATTTGTTTATAAAGAAAGAAGACAAAATGACAGGCAAGGAAGACATCTGGGGCATAGAAGGAGGAACTTAAACTCATCATCATTGCCACTTACTGAATACCTACTCTGCATATATAATTTCTCTTTACTAAACAAGTTTGTAAGATATATATTGTAATATCCATTTTCCATACAAGAAAATTTATGTGAAGTAAACTTGCTTTGGTCAATTAGCAGATTTTTTTTACTGTGTTTGTTAAAGCTGTAGGGATACTAATTGCATTAAATACATTCTTTGCTTTTTTTAAAGAAAAAAAGAAACAGTCACAAATATATCTTGATATATTTCTTCCCTTTAAAACCTCTTATTTCCATTTGTTTACGCTGTTAACTGCAACTAATATTTTTCTGACTTTGAGCCTCAGAAGAGTCAAGCTACCAACAAATATTTTGTTGAATTATTTTATTTGTATAGACCTTAGATGAACTTTTTATCTCATTGTATCACTGTATCTGATTTGCCCCAATTCCTAGTATTTCTTCATCTATAGGATTTTTTTCCCCTGGAATTGACACCTATTTTATTCTTTTTTATTTTTTGTTTTTTGAGACAGGGTCTCACTATGTAGTTCAGGCTGGCCTGGAGCTCATTATGTAGCCCAGGCTGGCCATGAACCAACTCATGGTGATCCTCCTGCCTCTGCCTCCCGAGTGCTGGGATTATATGCATGTGCCACTATGCTCAACTTATTCCTTTCTAAGTTGCTGTGTGAATTCCAGCAAATCCTCCGATGACATCTGTAAGACAGGTCTGCTGACAGTCTACACCTAATAGGATTGTTTTCATGACTAAGGAGACAAGATAGCATAAAGTGGTCATCACACAGCCTGGCAAATATGACCCAGCAAGGGAACTTAAAGTCTAAATGCTTTTCTGTCCCATATTTAGCCACTACCATACACCACTGTTGTATCTAACCTGAATTGAGATGTGATGTAGATGTAAAATACATTCTGGGTTTTAAAGACAGTATGACAAAGAATATAAAATATCGCAATTTGTTTAATATTTATTACATTTTGAAATAATATTTGGGGCATAGTATGTTAAATAAAATCCTTCATTAAAATTAATTTCATCGGTTTCCTTTTTACTTGTTTAATATAGTCACAAGGAAATTTGAAATTAAATATGTGGTTCATATTAGCGTCTAGTGGACAGTGCCAGAGCACATGGTTTTTAGTTAGCAGTGACCATGACTTTTCATGGATACAGCAGCATGCGAAGAGCAATTTTCATGGCCCTAAGTTGTTTCTAAGCAAAGCTTATCCTCCAGGATCAACTTTCCATGTGAAGTGCCCTTGGCTTTTGTCACAGCGTTTCTCAGCCTCTCATTAACCCTGGCTTAGCTTCAACAGGATTGGAAACCAGAGCCAGGAGAAATGAGTGTCACTACACAGTTCACCTCTGATATTTGTGGAGAAATGTGTGTGTTTTCATGGACATGTTCTTATTTAAACTATGTTGAAAGGTAGAGGGGAAAGAAGTAAGAAAATTGTTCTGGAATATATAGAAAATTCTGGAAAACCTTGAATGACTCACTTTATGTTACATTTACCAGGAATGTATGTTTCTGAGATCAGTCTGTCCCTACTGTAGACATTTTATCATGACAGAGATGTAGATTAATATAGAAAACTGAACAGTCTGTGATCTCAGCAAAATTACAACCATCTCTGCCAACCCCCAGAATTTTCTTACCAACAGCTAGCTGAGGTAGTGTGCATCCTAGACGCTCAGCAATTGGAGAAAGGTCTTTTAGCTTGTTTTGCTGTTTTCTCCCTTCTTCACTTACAATTCTTTCTTTCAACCACTGGTAGCACTACAAGTAAGAATAAAAATAACATTTAGATGTTAATGTCTGTCAAGGATATGGTGTCCAAAATTGTCAATTTAATAAAATGTAAGAACCTCAGGATGAATTCCTAAGTCTTCTTGATTCTGTTATGTTTTGTAGTGGGAAGGATGCTTATATCTTCATGCAAAGAAATGTTCACATAGTCTTGCTCCTTGTTTATTTGTTTAAAACAGATAGCTTTTGGTTAATATTCACCATTGAAATTAATCAGTATGCACAGAGTCCTTAAAACCCCGACACATATAGTCAGTTATACCCTAATTTACCAAGTGGAGAAATTAGAGTAATATTTGTTACTGGAATAGCTTAGGTTTTTTTGACGGGGGTGGATTTTCATTTTACCAAAATCTATTATGTTTCCTTTTTGCTAAGAAATCTGGGTGCCAAGCTTTCTGCTCACAGTAAGCCGTTATCTTACATTCTTGTTATAAGTATCTTTTCTCTCTTGCCTTCAATTCACACCTAATGTCATATTCTACTTATAATGAGGATTTATTGTAGACTTCCTCAACTTCTTTCTAGAAGCAGACATTATATGGCTGTTAAGTACATTTTTAAAAATTAAACTGAACAAAGAATTTTTGAAATATGTACTACCTACTGAAATTTAGGAAATGCAGCCAAGGAAACTATTCTTTAAACCTAAGGGAAGAGACTGACCCTGAAGTGTAGGCTATAAAGTGAGTCTAATTTCCTAAATACAGAGAGAAAAATTGTTCAGTGCATCTCAATGCCCTACTTTCCAGCAAGCTTTGTGCTTACTATAAAAGAGGAAATAACAGTCTCTTCTGTAGCACCAAGTAGCAACACCCAAAGGGAAAGAATATTTGTAAGAATGTTAGTGTTTCTTAGGGAAATCAATTTTAAAAAACTCTAACACTATGTGGCAACATGGACTTTCTCTGTTGCTTGTGTGGTGACATAATTGCCACCATAGATCTGTACCTTCCCAAAGGCCACAGGCAGCTCTGCCATTGGCAGTGGGCCATAGGCACTCCACCCACATGATTTCCATTGCCTGCTGGCTTTTGTTTTTTAAATATTTTTTCATCATCCAAAGAGAGAATTTCCAAAGAAAAGGGTAATCACAATGTTTTATTGCGATTTTTGGAATTATTTTGCAGATTTGAAAAAGAGAAGGGCAAGCCGCCCCAGTTCTGTCTGCCTCCTAGATCTCAAAGGCTTGTGGTCTGGCTCCTCACTTGGAAGTTTGCTTGGGGAAATAGCCAAGAATTTTCCCAGCCTATGATCTGTGAAGCTTTGACTTATTCCAGAGGAATAAGTCTAGCACATCTCTCTGAAGATGACAGCTGGTGCCAGTGCTGATGGGGTGGACAGTTGTGATCAGGACCCAGGCAGCCTTCCTGGGCCATGGTACTGCCTATGTCAGAGAGCCCCGAACTTGCTCTTGCTCTTCTCCATGGGAAAAACATCATCAATCCTCACATAAATTTCATAACATCTTTCAGGGGGCCAATATCTCTGAATGTTATTCAAACAAAAAAAAAATTGAAAGCTAATGAAAAATGCTCTTGAATAATTGTTTTTTATTACAACTAGGACACTTTCTGAGGTTTCAATATATACTACACCAAATGGTATATATCCAAAGAATGTCTGATTTAGCCAGGCACGGTGGCGTACACCTGTAATCCTAGGACTCAGGTGGCTGAGGCAGGAGGATTGCTGCAAGTTCAATGCCAGCCTGAACTACATACCAAGACCCTGTCTCAAAAGAACAAAAACAACACAAACAAAAAAGAGTAGCTGATTTATTAATCTCATTGAACTCTGAACTCTTCCATTTTTGAAATAATACATGCAAAACATTCTTTTTCTTAGGGTTGGGGTATGATATATATATGTGTGTGTGTATATACTTGTATATATGTTTATGTGTCACAAATACACATACCATATTGTGGGACAGACATCCAAAAGTAACAAACATCAAACATTCATTCATTTTTATTGCCTCCCTCTCTCTCCATCCTCAATCTCATTGTTGCTTTAAGCAGTGCAATATATAAGGAGTTAGGGCTTTAAAAAAATTAGATGCAGAGTGTTATACTGCTTTCCCCATACCAAGGGGAACAAAAGTGTTTTAGAAATAAGTGCCTAAAACTGGGAAAATGCTAGCAGATAGAAGAGATGAGGCTTAATTAAACTATTAATCAAATATGGAAGCAATCAACATCTTTAGCCCTGACCCTGTAGCTGGTCCAGGGGAGGGGCTTAGTGACGGAGGAGTCTCTAAGTAGGGGACACCAGGGTAAAGAGAAATCTCTTCAGTTTTTCAGACAGAGCATGGACAACCCCTCCTCAGTGTGACTTTTCTAGCTGACCTACTGGGGTCCTAATGGGTCCACAGTGCTGGTGGACTCCATGTTGTTTCATAACTCACCTTTCACGTGTCTGTCTCTCTAATAAATCCCTGAACTATTCCTTGAGAGTCAAGACTGTCCTATTCATCCCTATAGTCCTAGCAGAGTCCAGTGCTAAATAATTGATCAGTAGGTATTTGTCAGAGAATCAATTAAATGAGCTTCCCCCCTACATATTAGTGAGCTATTACTTTTGTACATAAGTCACAAAATTATCTACATTTTCCTAATGCTATTTCTTTGCCCTCTCCCAAATACTGTAGCCGTTATCTAGGTGTCCCATCTTATAGGTAGCAGTATCAAGATGGAACTAGTCTGTGAGACTTTTTCTGAAGTCTCTAATAGCTGCTAGTTAGTCCTTGATTGGAATTCAAGCAGAAAGTACAAGGTGTGATCAAAATATATAGTGAATGTAAACAATTTTTACCCTAGACACATTGCCATGAATCTCCCTCAAAATACTCTTCCTCACTTTAAGCATTCTTATCCTATCATTCTTGCCATTTTCTGAAGCAATTTGGAAGTCCTCTTTCATGAGTGTCTATGAGGTGTGATTAAAAAATACAGGAAATGTGCTGCTAGTGTCTAGTAAGATGCTACTGCAGTAAACCTGGTGAGAAATGATGAAGATCTAAATAAAGGCATAGCAGAGGAGAACCTACTCATGGCATGGCAGAGAGGAAGCAGAGAGAAGTGAAAGGAGGAGGTGAGATGGGTAATATAACCTTCCTGGTCATACCCACAGAGACCCATCTCTTCATACCAGGCCCTATCTCCTGATGGGAAGTCTGCTATAGCACCCTCATAAGCCAGTCACTTCCCAAAGGGCCTGTGTATGATCACTTGAAGCTTCAGGCAGACACCTAGATATAAACCATAACATTCTTCCCTGGACCCCCAGAGACTAATGCATGCCTCTTTATGCAAAATGCATATAATGCATTCTAAGAGTTTTAATAGTTCTAACACTGCTGAAATGGCCAAGTCCAAAGTCTCCTCTGAGACCTAAGGCAAATTCTTAGGTTTAAGCCTCTATAAAAAATAAAAAAGAAGTTAAATACTGCCAACATACAATGGCACAGGTTAGACATTCCCATTCCAAAACAGAGGAAAAGGGATAGAAACCTATAGGACCAAAGCAAGACCAAAACCCAGCAGGATGAACACTAAATCTTGTAGCTCTGTGTCCAGCACTTGGGGCAAGTTTTGAGAGATTTGAACTCCAAAAGGATTGGGCAGTCCCAACTCAAGGCATTGCTGGTGGTTGCTGCCCTCATGGCTTTTCTCTTGGGCTGACTTTGCTCACTCCCTCTGACTTTCCTCAGATGACTTCTTTAAATTCCTGGGGTTTCCACTGCACTTTTAGCTTCACTCTCACATCTTCCCCTACTGCCCTCTTACAGACACACTGCCTAGCCTCCAAGGCTGTCTTCTAAAGTTTGGGTGGAAACCTCCATGATCCCACAACTCTTGCATTCTGTATGCCTGTAAAGCCAACATCATGTGGATGATGCCAAGTTCTGCCTCTGGCTTCACAAGTAGCCAGGCCCTTTTACATCATGGCTGCAGGGGCCTCTGAGTACTTGGATGACTGAGCATTGTGAATGGAATCCCAGGAAGCCAGTTTCCTAGGTGGCCTCCAGGAGGGTGCCTTGGGGCTCTCTTCTCAAAGCAGTCTTTCACTTTTCCACCATGGAGTCTGCAAAGGACTATTCCCATGCCCTCAAGGTAACCTTTCGAGTGTCCAGATATAAAGTATTTATTCTATTTAATGCTAACCTTTTTCAGCAACCAAGCTCTCCTTTGCTCCAACTTTGCAAGCCTCAACTCTATTAGAGCTTCCTTCCTTTATAAACAGCTTTCCTTTCTAAAACTCAAACATTTTAAAATAATTCAGCTGTGCCATTTGCTCTTGGTTCTTAATGTAGAACTGGCTAAAAACTCTCAACAGTACCCATGCCACAGCCTCAATATTCGGCTGCCTTGAAATTTCCTCTGCCAGATTGATTAGTTCCCCTCCTTTCATCTCAGTCTCCTGCAAAGTCTCAAGACGTGAGCAAAATGTAGATATTTTGCTTGTACCTTCTTTTTCTTTCTCCTTTTGCTAGTGCATTTATGAAAGTGTTTTCAGCTGTTAGGAAGCTTTTACTCAGACAGTCATGGAGGTTAGATAATAATACACTCACTCTAAATATAGCATAGCTATTTGTTGTAAAACAAACAAACAAACAAAAAAACACCTGGTTTTGTAGGGAAACAAAGATGTCTTTAGGAAAGATAATTAACCAAAAGCCAGGAAACATCTAACATCAACATTATTTATTAGGAATTTATGGTCTTGAATTGTTATTTAATGTCTTTATGCTCTAGTGTCTGCATCTGGAAAAGGCTGAGAATATACGAGGCAGTATTTTGAATTTTTCAGAAAGCCTGTGAAAGATTGTGCAGATGGGCCTCAACAATGGTTTGATCTAGAATTTTTTTTTTACTTTATGATGGTGTGAAAGTATACTTATACAACTTCTGTTTTTCATTCTCAGTACAGTATTCTATAAGTTACATGAACTATCCAACACGTTAGTATGAAATAGTCTTTGATGATTTTTGTCAGATTGTAGGCTAATGTGTTTTGAGCACATTTAAGGTAGGTTACGCTGAACTATGGTGTTCTTGTAGGTTTGGTGTATTAAGTGAGTTTTTTGACTTAGCATATTTTCAAATTACAATTGGTTTATCAGACTTGAACCCCACTGTTAGACAAGGAATACCTGTATAGCAATTTAGCTTAGCTATAATTGACTAAAAGCCAATATATCCATTTCTCTTTGTGAAGATAAAGGAAGATGAATGAAAACACTTAGACTGGTACTTGGCACATAGTAGGTGCTCAGGTTTGCTCTGAACTTACTATGTAGCTAGGCTGGCCTCAGACTTGTAGCAATCTTCCCGCCTCAGCCTCTTGCCTGTTGGAATAACAGGCATACATCACTCACCACACCAGGCTTAAATTCATGATTCTTAATGCTTCTCTTCTATCCTTTTCTTCTTCACTACCTTGTCTTTCTCCTATTATATGTTCTTACCTAATATGCTTTTGATTTTTCTCAAGTGGACTTGTTTAGATTGGTTCTTTAATCTTGAGGAACAAGATCTTCCTTAATATTCTAGGATGATTGTGTTTTGTGATAATATAAAACCATGAACAAGGCCATGTCAACATGCTTTAGGACATATTTATATTAGATTATTTTAGAGAATGAACAAGCTAAATGCTGAACTGTTGCAGGCGAGAAAAGAAGTGAAATACCTGGAACATTGAGAAGGTTCTGATTAGGAAGCCCGTGGTGGTCACCCTTCCATTTATTAAAGGATTGGTAGTTCAGTCTCAATGTGAGCTCTTCCTCCACTGACTCAGCGCTAATGGAGGCTTGGAGCTGGGTCATGCATATGTGTTCTCTTAGAAGGACTTTGCTTGACTGAATTTTTAAAATGCCTATATTTTTTCTTGCTTGACAGTATAGAACAGTTTGTGACTCTAATTTATTACACATTCTCTCACATTTAAAAAAAAAGACATGTTTTTATAAGGAAAGATGTTTGGAATGCTCACCAATAAATTAATCATCAACATGTCTTGAATGGAGGTAATTTTTTTTTTATGATCTTGAATGCCATTATTCTTCAGAGCAGAATTTAAACTGTAAATTGCCAATGCCCAGAATGGGTCTCTACAAATGACAATCATGGAGCCCCAATGATGGAAACTTTGTATCTGTCTCCTGAGGCGGTCCCTCCTTAACCCTGCCTCCAACACACAATAAAAAAAATGTCTTATATCTCAAACCTCAAATCATCATGTTTTGCTACAACTGTTTGCCTCATATGGAGTAAGCCTTTATAGCTTAAATTTTGTTTTGTCAAGAAAAGGAAAATTAGATCCTCTTCCATAGACAAGGAACTTTAAATTTTGTCAGTTTCAAATAAGGAATGAAATAAATGTTTTCCTCAACATAAGAATAATTAACAATGTAGGGATTGGAACTCCGCAAGTCCAACTGGGTCACTGGACACTTTTTCCCAGCCCCTAGAGGAAGGAAGAGACTTTTCTATGCAGATTACAAGGAGCTGACTGATTCCTGGCCAGGATCGGAGACCTCAGAGAGTTGGAAGAAGGCTGCCAGAATTCACCAGCCTGGACAAGGCCACAGTGTGTCTGAGTTGGTCAGCCCTAGGCTGCTGCAGTGATTTAATCAATCTTCTTCCCCAGCCCAGACTCTTCTCTAGAAGTTGAAAATACCTTCAGCGAAGCCCTGGAGCTTTCAGGCACCCCATTTCCATATTTTCCTGAGATGATTCCACAGGCAAGTGGAGACCATGTCATTGCGCCAACCCCTACAGAAGGGAAAACCATAAAAAATTGCTCATACCAACTGGGATCAAAAGACTGTGGGTGTTTAAACACAATTTGTTTGGTTATAGAGAAAAGCTGGCCAGATAAATGAGTTAATACCAGCATATATCTTTCCATGACATTTTTACATTTGCAAATTGTATTTCATTCTTTTATAAACCAATTAAACATGTACTGTCAGTTCTTGGAATGAGTCATAAAAGCAAGCCCCGAAGGTGTGACTTATCTATGATGTTTTGATGTATAAGATTCATGGACAGAGAGATAAACACTTTCACTTGCACAAAAATTCAGTGCTTCTCTTGTCCTTTCAGTGCTTAATGTGTTGGCTGGTACACAGCACAAATGCAGTGCCTAGTAAACACTCAGTAAGTGATAGTAATAACAGTTGTTCTTGTTGAATTTTTATCTTTTTTTCTTATCTGGCATTTTCCTGTCAATTCTGAGAAAGAAAGTTATCTCTGATATTAACTTTTATACATTTTATGTAGAAATATAAGATAAAAGATATCCTTTAGTATGTAAGTCTGAAAACATGGCTTATTCATGTTTTTCCTAGGCCCAAATTTCTTGTGTTTATATTGTGTATATATTTTTCCCCTCTGTCTGAGAGCGTTATTTCTACACAAATATATATTGTCTGGCTTGTTAACTGTTGTTGAATTCCTTATATCAAACTCGGTGCCAAGCACAGTAAGAGATACAGATGTGTATATCCATTATATTTTGGAAAGGCACTCAGTCCGTTCCAAGTTGCATGCTTGGGTGAATACTGAATGAGTTTGTCCACGGATTTTTTTCCCTTTACTGTGTATACGTTTTTTGAACAGCTACCAAGTACAGCTTATATGCCAGTCACAGTTCACAACTCTGTGGATTTCATCAGTGATACCCCGTAGACTAAATAGAGGCACATTTGATTTTGCTAGTCTCTGGGATACATAGTTCTTATAATCCTTATATTACTTAGGAACATTTAGGAAAGCATTTTACTAAAACTTATTTTCTAACTCATTAATTTTGCTATTGTTAAAAGTAGTAGATGTACTTTTGAAGATTACCTATTTTATGGTAGAGCTCAGGCAGCTGGACCTCCACCTTCTCTCTCTGGAAAAGATGGTACTCAGCTTGTTCACAGACCGGAGGGATCATATTGAACTGTCTTGCTACAGAATAGGCTTCCTAGGGAGAAACAAGATTGCAACTGAATTTAGACTGATTAGCAATAAGGCTTCACTGTAATTCATTTGCATGTGAAATGCTCATTTCAGTGAAGTCAATACAAACCAAGGAACACATAGGATGCCAAATAACAAGCAAAGTTATGAGTATTGATTTCACCAACAGCAATACTGAATGTAGGAAATTCTTATTATTCTTTGGAAGGATTTGGACTTAGTAAGGTCTAGAGCAAATTAATCAAAGTATGAGTTATGGACTATTATAACAAAAATGTGGTTTGATTATTTTTAGGTTTCTAAAGAAATAAAATTTTAACATAAAAACGATCTGTAATGAGTTACAAACAGTGCAGTTATTAATATAGTTTTTAAACAAGAATAATCATATATCTCATTAGTTATGAAGTTCACTTTACCCTCTTGCCACCAAAGAATATGATTCTTTTAAGAGGCCTGAGCTCTTCATGTTGTATTCTGAACTGATGAGCTCCAGCCCCAATATTCATCTCTTTAATGATGGAATTGATCTTAGAATTCCAATGGCATAGGGCTTTTGAGAAAAGTTTGCAAAAGATGTTATAATTTACACATGGTATCTGAATAATAATAATAAGATATTCAATAACCATTTAAAAATAGAAATTAGCTTACCATGATCTCCATAGCGCTCCACCTTGAGGTGCCCCAGTACATCGCCATGCCTTGGTTTATCACATGTGTCATGGCTCGAACAATTTCTATGGAAGGCCAAACAATATTCCAAGAGTTTCTCTACTGTTCCAAGTTGTGTGGTTTTTTTCCCCATCCCCAAAGTTTAAAAGTTTAATGCAATTATTTGTGTGATCAATATCATTACTTTGATATTAGTGATAACATAATAGTCTAACATGTAATATTCATGATTTGGAGGTTTATGTTCCACTTTCAGTTTTCAGCAGCAATGTTAATTGGTATTAAAATATTATGATCACTTTAAGTTCTTCTTTGTATTGCTTGATGGTTCTTGGTCTGATTAAAGAACACATAATTACTCTCTCAGAATCTGGAGTACTTGCTCACCAAAGTGAGAAATGAGGAAAAGCATTTGTTTTGACTTTGTAGAATGTAAGGTCATTGAGGATGGAAGGCCTGTCTTTCTTTGTATGTTGGATTTGCAGAGCTGGGCCTCACACTGAGTAGCTGTTTAATAGAGATGACTCAGTAACAGTGTGTTTAGCAGAAAGATAAACATATTAATGCTGAACAAACAGCTGCAGCCACAGGGGCTCAAAGCCTTCAGTGACACACCCTGTCCTTGACCACTTTGAACCAAATTTTGTTCTAAGACACCCATGTAATTGATTTCACCAGGGCCTGCTGGTGGGCCCACCCAGTTTGTTCATCAGGCTCTTTCAGGTTGACATCACATTTCCTAAACAGGAAAATGAATCCTCTCCCCAGAGGGGTGGAGCTGAGCTAATACTCTTGGCACCAGCCAGATGTGATGCAGAGCTAGAGGAGCAGGAAGAACCTTAAGTTCAATTTAGCAAAAATTTACAGACAAGATTGGATTTTTTCTGCAAAGCAGGTCAGTTGTTTGGATGAACAGCATGCCAAGTCATTTGACATTTTCAAGGGATCATATGACCTTGGGGCTTCTCTATGTCCCAGTAATATCAGTAGGTTAAATGTCCTTTAGAAAAATCCAATCCTTGTCTCAAAATAGAGTTGAGGTTGATGAATTTTTATTTTTATTACTCATGGAGACAGAGGACAGGGTTTGACAGGGTTTGGAATGAGAAGGCCAGGCCGAGGGTCTTTGGTTCTTTGTTGTTTGGCTTATGTAAGCTGTTTGAAGTTGCCTTCAGGTTCTCCAGAAGATGGGAATGCTTTCATTCACTATTGGCTGTCCAACAGAGGTAGACTTTGACTTATAAGCTGAATATTTTTCTTTCTTGGATAAGGATCTCCAAATCTTAAATCATAACAACTAAATTATGAAGTTCATTTTTCCCTTTATTAAATAAATGTGATAAAAAAAAAGGAATGAGAAGCCTCCTTTTCCTCTCTTTTAGAGTACAAATGGAGTGAGTGCCAATTAGAAACTTTTCTGGAAGTTGAAAGCCATAGTTGTTTGAATCTCTGGCCTGGAGCAGACATCTCCACCATTGTGCCAGGTCCCTCTTCCTTCATATACAGCTTCCTTCTGAGCCAGGAGGTCATTCAAACAATACTTGTCAGTGTCTGTTGTTCTTGGTACTAGATATGCTGGGGTGGGCCAAACGGGGGTAAACACTGAAGAGGTTCACAGAAAATAAACTCATCCTGACCCTATTCAGTGTCTCAGTCTCTACAGTCAAGTAAGATGAGTACAGTCAGGTGGCTTAGCCATGTGCAAGTTGCTGAAGGCTTGGACCAGTGCAGCTAAGGTAGGTGGAGGTGGTGACTTCCTATACATTCACACACCTATTCAACACACAGGCAGTAAAAATCAAGCATTGCCAGGCACTGTGCCAATTGCTGGATTCATTTCTGAGCAAAAAACCCTGCAAAATTCCTAAACTGAAGTTGAATGAGGAGGATGGAAAAGTAAACAAGTAATTACGAAATGTGAAGTGCTATACAGAAGACAAAGGAGGCTGAGATCAAAGTTGAAAAGGAAGACTAGTTAGGGCAAGGATGGTCTCATTGATGAGTTGTGTTTAGGGATAAAAGAAGCCAGTCATATGAGGGAACAGGGGAAGAATGTTTTAGGAAATAGCATGTACAAAGTCCCTGAGGCTGGACAGGGCCTAGTAAATTCCAGCAACTGGAAAAAAGCCATGTGATAGGAGCCTAGTACAGAGGGAGGATAGGGATATGCGATTGATATAGCTACCAAAAGGCAAACTATGTTATTTGTATATTATTCAAAGTTTAATGGAGCCATTGACTCTTTTTAGGCAAGAGAATGACATTTGATCGTCCTAGTCTACATCTCAGAACACCATCTTTGCCTATGCTGTGGAGGATCAGTAAAGAAAGGGAGGGCTGAGAAACCAGGATGATCTTTAGGAAGGCACTGCTACATTCCAGGTGGGCAAGGGGGGAGTTATAGTAGGATGATGTCAGTAAAGACAGTGTGGTAAGTAAGGGAAAGGGAGTAGTCCATCTTCCAGCTGCCTGGCTATTTGATGAGAGAGGAACGGTTTTGGGAGGAAAATCAAGGGTTCTTTTTGACGTGCAATTCCTGTGAGATACTAAAGGGGGGATGTTGAGTTGGTATAATTGGGCACATAGAGGATGAATGATCTGCTGGATGTGGTGTGTTTATTAGTTATCAGTCTACTCTAAATTCATGGCAGAGGATGAAACTACCTAAGGCAAGTCTGAGAGAAGAGAGAGAGAAGGTTGTCGTTGCTTGCTGGGGTCAGAGAGAGAACTCTGTGCAGCATGCTGGTTGATCAGAAGCCAGAGGGGCAGGAAGGAAGCCAGAGGGGAGAGGGATATTTCAGAACCAAGAACAGAAGGTGCTGCCAGGAGTGTGCCTACAGGGCGGAACGCTGTGCACAACTAGGTCAGGGGGTACATGCCAGTGTACATGTGCAGGCAGCAGTCTCAGTGAGATGGAACCAAGGTCAGGTTGAGGAAATGGCCGAATGGTGGGGCCAGGGAAGGCTTTAGAGACAGCCTGTGAGGATGAAGCTTCCAACAGGTTTGCAAGTGAATAAAGAAGAGAAATTGGGCAGTAGCTGAGGGGTGTTTAGTGCAAAAGGAGAGTTTTAGATGGAAGAAGTAAGAGTCCACCTGTGTGTCATCAGGGGTGAGCTAGAAAGGAGTTAGGAATGAGCTGGACCAGGGAGTTGGGAGGGGAGGAAGGGAGAGGGAGGACTCGGACTGGACAGCGTGCGATAGAGGAGGAAATGCAGCTGGGTGGCGTGGGACATTTCTTTTGGGCCGAGAGGATGAGCTGGGTTTGTAGAACTCATGGGAGGCATGGAAGCTCCTGTCTGGTGGTTTCTATTCTCAGTAAACTGTGACTCCGGTAAAAGGAGGTGGTTTGAGAAGTGAGGCAAAAGTGAGGCCACCTCCGTGACACTCCCATGCCCAAGCCCTCCAGCTGCCCCGCCTGTAACTCCTCAGGGATCTTTTGGCCTTGACTGAGGAGGACTGGGTGGAAGCAGGGAAGGACTCCTGGAGTTCCATTCCTCTAAGGAAGCAGCAGCACAGACAGCAGGGAGAAGTGGAGGGAGAACAGGCCACAGCTGGAGCGTCACACAACCCCAGATTAAATTTTAATTAATTCGTAGTAAATTAGCTCATTATTTTTTAGGTCAGAGAAAATTTTCCCAAGTTGTTTAACTATTAATTGGAAATAACCATATTGATAGCCGAGGTGTGTTATGCACAATTCTAATATGTATGGACGCTAGAGGGCAGCATTGTTGAAAGAAAAAAGTCCACTCTGCGTACTGTTTTTGACTTGTGTATCGTGGAAATGCATTTGAAAGGTGTCTTAGGCAATGCATTGTTTCTGAGTAGGGAGAGGACACTAGAAAGATTATTTGGTGAAAATTCATGAGCCCCTGAAGGAAGACACTCAGGCAAACATGATTAAATCTGCTACCCCGAGACAGTATCTAACTGCCCATCCCCAAACTCCCTGATCTTGCAGAAGGCTCAGCCCGCGTGGCTCTCAAACCTGCTGCACACTAGAAGCAGCTGCAGTGGGGTGTGCCTTAAAAACTACCCATGCCCAGGCTCCCCTAACCCCTCTGTTGTATGAGAATTTTGAGGTGAGGGCCTGGCGTCCGTATTTTAGAAACTTAGCCCACCTGAGTCTACTGTGTGGCCAGGACTTAGAACCACTTTACTTGTTTACCTGGTTCAAAGTGTAGCTGATAGACTGGCGGCATCAGCAGCCCTTGGGTTTTTTTGGTACCTGGGAATCGAACTCAGGACCTTGGGCTTGCAAGGCAGGTGCCAGCGCCACTGAGATAAATCCCCAGCCCGGCCCATCCCTTGGGGATTTGTTCCAAATGCAAATCCTAGAGGCCCACTCAGACCTAGTAGACTGCAAATTCTGGGGGTGGGACACAGTGGTCTATTTTTTAAGCAGCCCTCCAGCCAATTCTGGTATGCTATAAAGTTTGAGAACCATTTATACCCTTTGCAAGTTAGCCATTTGAATGGTCCACTTCTCCCCACATTTTCTCTTCTGTTTTCACCTAATCTGATGCTCCGTATTATTATTATAAGCAGCTAAATTAGATAGAAATTAATATAAAGTTAGTGGGGATTGGGCCCACAAGGAAATCAGCACAAAAAATAGAGACATCAGTATTATGGCCGGAGGCAAATCTGAAGAAAGCCAGACCTCAGGATAGAAACACAGTAACCAGGCCTGCAAGGTAAACCACAACTTGAGATTCTACTATAATTAGCACCCTCTGGTCCAGTGGGCCCAGATAGGCAGCAGGTGCATAGGTAGGTGGGTGACCAGTACATCTGGGCCCATACGCCCCTCCTTTTCCAAGAATACCTTTGATCCTTCCATGTACCCTTGCTGTGTGATTCATTTCCCTATTGGGTCAGTATTAGCCAAAAAGCTATACTTGTAATTTTTTAGGTTGATTATAGTTTATAGGTTGATTGTAGTTTGACCATACTGTACCCATGTTGTGATTTTACAGTATAAATTACCCCTGACAAAGAGCAGTGGTGGCCACTCACTCAGGACAGACCCTCCTGTCTCTCAGGAGCTCTCTCTTAATCAACC